CAAGACTTACACTGGCAAGGCGCCAATCTCAACCACTCTCGCCTTGACCCTCCACATATTAGGCAAGCTCTATCATGTTTTGCAAGTTTGTTCTGGAATACGGGAATTGTGTTCAATGTTTGGCTTTACACTGTGTTGGTCAGTGCACTGCTGACGTACAAATGATCTGTCAAGTGGGATCACTTTAAACCTGCTCTACAGTGTGTAGACATACCTGCCCCTACCTTGGAAATATTTTGGTTTTACTATGCATAGGCTATGAAGACCCCACAAAAGGCTCTGACTCTCAAGCATGCCTTCTAAGGGTGTGCATGATTTGGACTCTTGCCACTTTCTTGGCTCGTTTGCTCAATACCACAGATGCCATAGTTTAGCTGTTAAAATATTTAATTAATCAGTTTATTTATGTTCCTCTGTCTGTCTCATCTGACCCTCTCCCTCTTCCCTGCATTCCTCCAACCCTCTACCGTCCCTTTCAGCTGTAACAATGTTAATTGCTACCTCACTCTACTTATTATGTGAGATGCTTTAACATTCTTTTGAAATGGCAAAAAGTTCTATGCAAACTCTGAGTATATTCCACTACTATGGCATTATTACAAGAGTCTCATCTTTTCCAGACATCCTTCACTAAATTACTGTACATTCAAATATTTTCCTGCTTGGTAACGTAGCTGAATTTACCCACCATACTCAGATGTAGACCCCTTTATCCCCTTTTGCCACAACTCTCTGGGTTTCTGGACACACTCAAGGAAAATACATTTCTCTACTTTCCTCCCTCTGCAGCTCTGAGAGGCCACACCTAATGTGGTAGAGGTAGCTGGACATGTCAACTACAGCCATGTGAGTGGACCTCCACAGTCAGAGCTGGAGCAGCAACTAGCTTTATCACACACAGCTTCTCCAAAAGAACCAGTCACCATTGGGAGTCTCTTGCCAAATGCTATCAGAGTACTCCAATTTCAGTGGGGTAGCACTTTTGCTTCGGGCCTTGGATACCTCCAGCTGTTCAACTGTGTTATCAGAGCTACTCTGGACTTTACTGTGAGGGATGCTGACTAAAAGAACATTTGCAAGTCAGTTTTGTTATCCTCTATGTATGCCAGGTGCCGGAGCCCATTATGTGTCTGAGGTGCTGCAGCCACACCTGCCACTCACAGTGGTGGCGCCAGAAGCCAAGCTTGGATGTGCTATAGCATCACCAACATTTCTTAAATCATTCCTGTCTGCTGGGCACCAGCATATGCAGCATAGCATATACCTATGTTTAAGCACAGGGAAGGTGTCTGCTGCAGCCAACAATGCCCTGTGACTTGCCCTCATCAAACACATGTGACTAGGCTAGCCCAGAAAAAGAAGAAGGGGAATCTGTGCACACTGCAGTTTGATATCCATATCATGCAAGAGTACATAAGCTTGACACCAAGCAATGAAATGTAACTGAGAGTGGCTGTCACACATTGAAATCCAGACGTTATGGCATTGGAGGTTGCCCCCCCCCCCCCAAACTCTCCCTCTCCCTCCTGTTCTCTCCCACAATTTGCTCTTTTTGTGCTATGGGTGGTTAATGTGCTTATATTTACTGTTGTCCTGGGGGTTATTGCTTACCCTGACACTTGCTGTGGGTTATTATTGTACTGGGGGTTACTGCTGGACCTACTGCATGCTGGGAATATCACTGCTGGCCCTTACACATAGTTCCAGTTATTATTGTTGGCCCTGGCAAATGCTGAGGGCTATCTCTCTGGGGGATATCATTGCCTGCCCTGACATTTCCTAGGGGTTTTCACGGATCCTGACTCATGCTGGGGGTTATTGCTTCCACTAACGCCAACAATAGGGCTTAATTTCCTCCTACAATCTCTTCAATAAACCCCGGGCCCTATTTTGTCTAAACCATAGCAAAGCATTCTGTACACTGTTATGTACATTCCATTCTAACACTGTCTCATACTATACTACGCAGAGTAACTTAGACTCTACTTAACCACACCCACTTAAGCCATGTCCAATATTTAGCACAATGAAAGCCATGCCCTCATGATATCTAATATGCGTAGTTTCACCAAATCACTGTCCATTAAGGAGATGGCTTTAAAGCTTCTCACCAGATGGGATGACACGCCCTCTAGATTACACATTCCATACCCAGATGTGTCTGAACTATGTTTTAGAGGTAGCCCACCAGGGGCTCATTGATTCATATCTTCTGCTCCTGTGATAAGGTTCAAACTCTTTGGCGTAGAATATCTCAGATTGCCTCAGCTTTCACTGATAACACCTTGAATTTGACTTTTCTGATGTGTCTTCTATTTGCCTCTATCCCTGAGATGACATGAAGAGAAACTTATAAATACCTTATGTGTGGCCACTCTCTGGGCCATAGCATTGCAATGGAAAGTAGATAGTGTCCCTTTTCTGCAATTGTTTCGAGAATTGACTCTATTATGCCTATGGAAAAAAAAATTATATACCTTTGTACTGCTAAATACTATGGATATTTTGTTCTAGCTGACATGTTCTGTATTTTCTTCATTGCACTTTCCGGTCATTGCTTATTCTTTATTGCAGATGTCTTTTTCACTAAATAGTTTGTAAACAAAAAAGAAAACCATGTCTGCTTTCAGCCATTTTTTTCCTCAACTAATGGTTAGGAATGTTCGTGTACTGTATGTGATGATGCCAAGGCTCTGCCCACAGACTGGAGCATTGGGAGGAGAAGAGTGCCAGAGCAGGAGGGAAACAGGTAGATGAAAAAGCCTGCAAGGGTTAATTTTTACATTTTCATGGAGAGCTTTAAAATAAAGTGCTTCAAGCTGATCCTTTGCTGATTAACCAACCATGGCTACAACCACTCCAACAATATACATTTCCCATACAGATGTGATGAGTGAAAAGGCACCCCCATGGCTGTAACTAGGGCTAAGCCATCTCTTATTGGACACTAAATACCTGGTAGATAGGTTCTATATTGCCTCTCAAAAGAACTAGGTAAATGTCGAAAAGGGGTTAAGTAATTTATCCCTGGGATAAAAGTCCTCTGGATACCATCACATACACATTATCTAACTCCCTTAACCTCTCAGACCACCCACAAAATCCAGAACATATGGGACTCAGTACACTGCAATACAATGATCCTGTCAACTCCTCACTCCTAGCTTTAATGGGCAATAACTATTTCCCATTGGGTAAGGACAACCCAGCATACCTTAAATTGGACCATTCCACGACTCTAACGTTCAAAGGTCTTCTCAAAAGATTGCACATAATGTCTCTAGAAGCCTTAAAGTGGAACTGTATCTGGACACTACAAACTGAAAACACTATTTAATTAATTTTTAATAATACAAGCAAACTCGCCCATCCATCTATGCCTTCATGCTTTATTTTGTTGAGAACTCAATTTAAAAAACACCCACCTATCATTTCTGGCCATTTCTGGCCTATGGCCATCTTACATAAGGACAGGTGATTCATGTAGCATTTACTTCCTGGAATCCATCTGCCCTTAGCTCAGGCATGCAGGCAGGAGGTGCTTAACTGGGAAAAGCTCCCCCCCCCCCCCCGCCAGATGAAAGAAAAAAAATGCCCATGAAGACTATTGCAATGTAGAACATCATTTTGGCATAGGCCAGAAACCTGAAGGCAACTGAAGAAAAAAAAAGTTTAAAACAAGTATATATAATATACCTTCCTATCTATTTAAAGTACTAACGTTCACAACATAAGGTTTAAAAAGTTAAAGGTTGATTGAGAGAGTTAAGTTTCACTTTAAAATCTAAATGCAGCACCCACAATATGGACTTTTGGAGATCTTGCCAAATACTGCAGTTTGTATCTTCTCTACCCAAGCCCCTACACTCTCTTTCATAGTCTATCTCTTTTGAGACCTTATTAATTTCCAAAGAAACCCCCACACACTGCATTTCCTACACATACATGTGTATATATACATACTGTATCTCTACTGAATATTGAGGGACCTCAATACCCTCTATATCTAGAAATTTGGGAACAGGAATTCCACCAGACACATTAAGAAGAACAAAAATCCATGATCATATGACTTACTCACACCCCCTCCCTGGATTCTAATACTGACTAGACAGACTTTAAATTACCAGCCAGGTGGTACAACATTCCACCAAGTGTTCACACCAACCGCCCCTCAATCTCTGCTAATTGCTGGAGGGGTTTAGGGAATATGGCACATTTGTTCAAAACTGGTAGCATGGAAGGGCAGCACTAGGAGCCAATCAGACTATGCTGCATGCATGTTTGTTGCTGAACGAGTAAATTGCTGAGAGTTAAAAATAAAGCAGAGAGATCATTTCATTAGTGTGCTTCTTCTCAGGCTGGTGTTGTGCTCTTGACCAAGCTATACTGCTGATCCAGGGAACTTTGAGGTTCTGACTTTAATGTCTGGCATGGATGCCGGGATGACAAACATTGGTAATGCCCGTCACCGTGGGAAAGAAGGCCATAATGTCTCTGTAATGTTGGTGGATTTGATGATTTCTATACGCTAAGTTACTGCAACTAATACCTCAGTAAAAAAATTAGGTCTTAAACTATTGGTGTGGTGGCCATTTTTTGTACTCAAATACAGCCCTTGATAGCAGTAGAGGTCTGACATACCCTCCACAATCTATAACTAAGAAAAGGGTTTTGTCTGAACACACACTTTAAAAATAAATGTAGGATTAGAAAGATCTGGGAAGTTTTTAAGTACAAAATGGGGTCAGCAACTCCAAATTTAATAAAGAACCGAAAATATGTAAACCAACATGGACTTTTGATTTGCCCCAAAGAAGCCACAAAATACAATATTAGTTAAAATATGGGAAAATATATGCCCCCCAGAACTGTACCATTATAACTAATATTGCATTTTGTGGCACCTCAAAATTTCATATTGGTTTAGATATTTGGGGTTCTTCTAAAAATAAATGAGTCAAACTAGTACAACATAAAAAGAGCGGGTGAGTATGTACCGTAATCCTCCATGTACACTTGCTATTAGGTGGGTAAACTCCAGGAAACCCTTCACTTCCCAGGAGTCCACTTTTTCTCCAGTTAGATTTCCACCACAGGTAAAATGATGCCTGTAAAGAAGAGAATGTAGTTAAGTACAAGATATTAAAATAACCAACATTCACAGAAAAAAAGTGAAGTACTATGTGTAATAATACCCTTTCTGTGGTGGGGAAAACACTAGAGAACACATTGGCTTGTTTAGTACATTAAAAGGGCAGTTGTCTTTGTGGTGATTAGACGTGGACAACCATTTTGTTAAAGATCTACCATCTTGTATCGTACTCTGCAAATATCATTCTCTCCCCCTCCTTTTTTTTTAATGGAATGTGGTCTTTGTGTGTGCTGAGTTCAGGATTGCACAGGGCACAGCTTGATATGCTTCATGGTTGTAAACCCAATTAGCTGGTTCTAGGATGTCTGTCAGGCTCTTGCCTTGGCTGCGTCATAAAGCTATAAATCAGTTCGTCACTGGACATGAAAAGCATTCCAGAATGGCAGTAAACATACATCCCATTTGAAACCACTTTTTCATACAATTTCATAAACCCCACCAGGAACAAGGTACAATAAAACAAAGCATATATTCAGATAGGTCAGTTTAATACGAGTCACCTGACACCTTATTCCCCTATGTGGCACCTACACAAGAGTAGAAAGCAATATGTCTTTATCTGGAATGATAAGATATGTCTGGGCGTTCAGGATATCATTCTGCATATTAATCTACCAGTGGCTAGGCTGCTACATGTACCTAGTGAAGGTTATTGACCATGGTATAAACGTGGGAGGGATTTGGTCATAGCTGGGGTCCCCGCCTAAACACACCTCCCCAAATGAGGCAATTGGTTCTCTGCTTTAAGGAGACACCCTGCTGGGTTCCTAGAAAAGAGGCTGTCATGCCTGGAGCAGGAGGAAGAGATTCTCCCTTTTAACATCAGGAGCCAACATGGGAAAAAAGGTACCCTTTTGTTCAGGATACTTGAACTTAAACCAGGATTTCTGCAAGTATCCTACCTTCTTAAACTTCTTTCTTTTATCTATCTGTTGTGTTATTGCTCTCTCTCTCTCTTTCTACAAATATATATATATTTGTTACATCTTTTCTGTAAATATTTTTATTGCACCATTTGGACCTTTTTAGTAATAAATCCTATTTTCTGAAAAGTGTTGAATTGTTTCTAAAGCTTTTTAATGCAAACTAAGAATCCCTGTCTCTGAAGAGCGCTACTGTGTGTTTTAAAACCTCTGGATACATCTGTCTGCGGTGACAGTGTGTATACAGACCCTTATTCAAACATCATAGCGTTACTGCTAAGATTTGTGAGTTTCTTTCTTCTCTGTAAAAAGGTGATGGCGGCAGTGTGAAGGGTTAATTGCGTAATTAACCTGACCCAGTAACAATCGCTCTCAGGCTGCTGGCACCTAGATTGGGGTCCAGTGAGCTGGAAAATCTTTGTGCAGGGTGCAGCTGAGAGTGGCATTGTTACGCAAGTGCCAAAGCGGTTTTAGATTGGCTAGTCCTTCGGTCACAAGTTGGTGAGAAGGGCTGGGGTCTGACACTGCGCCCGTCACAGTCTTAATGTACTAAAGCACCCTCAATAGCAGCCAGACAGATTTTACATTTCATATCTGTTTACATCAGTCTGTGTAATGGAATGTATTGCTGCACTTTGCACAGTGTACACTGTACCTCTCTATACTCTATACTAGTTTGCTGAAACATCTGCACTGCATAGCAGAGATGACTACTGCACAGATATAATCCAAAGCCATACACTTTATTGACTGATGTGGGAATCAGCCAATACATTTATTAGCGTGATGATGGATTGAAAACAAGTCAGACAAACATAATCTGTAGCTTTAGATAAATGGCGTAAAATGGTGTTCAGTCACTCACATGTTATCAACTCTAGAATTCAGTTTTGTCATGGGGCAATAATTACAAAATAAATAAATTTTATATATATATATATATATATATATATATATATACACACACATATACACACACACAAACATATACAAAAAAATTAAAGGAACACTTTGAAAACACATCAGATCTCAATGGGGAGAAACATCATGCTGGATATCTATACTGATATGGATTGGGTAATGTGTTAGCAACGTAAGGATGCTCCATCGTTTGATGGAAATGAAAATTATCAACCTAGAGAGGACTGAATTCAAAGACACCCCAAAAAATCAAAGTGAAAAAATTATACAGCAGGCTAGTTCATTATGCTGAAATTTCATTGCAGCAACTCAAAATGGTACTTAATAGTTTGTATGGCCTCCACATACTTGTATGCATGCTTGACAATGTCGGGGCATGCTCCTAATGAGACGATGGATGATGTCCTTGGGGTTTCCTCCTAGATCTGGACCAGGGCATCACTGAGCTCCTGGACTGTCTGAGGTGTAACCTGGCGGCGTCAGATGGACCGAAACATGACATCCCAGAGGTGTTCTCTTGGATTTTGGTCAGGCAAGCGTTGGGGCCATTCAGTGGTATCAATGCCTTAATCCTCCAGGAACTGCATGCATACTCTCATCACATGAGGCCTGGCATTTTCATGTACCAGGAGGAACCCAGGACCCACTGCACCAGCGTAGGTTCTGACAATGGGCCCATGGATTTCATCTCGATGTCTAATGGCAGACAGGGTGCCATTGTTTAGCCTGTAGAGGTCTGTGCATCCCTCAATGGATATGTCTCCCCAGACCATCACTCACCCACCACCAAACTGGTCATGCTGATCGATGTTACAGGCAGCATAACGCTCTCCACGGCTTATCCAGACCCTTTCACGTCTGTCATATGTGCTCAAGGGTGAAACTGCTCTCATCCGTGAAAAGCACAGGGTGCCAGTGACAGACCTGACAATTCTGATGTTCAATGGCAAATATCAATCGAGCTCTGTGGTGCCAGACAGTAAGCATAGGGTCCACTAGAGGATGTCAGCCCCTCAGGCCACCCTCATGAAGTCTATTTCTGATTGTTTTGTCACACCAGTGGCCTGCTGGAGGTCATTTTGTAGGGCTCTGGCAGTACTCCTCCTTGCACAAAGGAACAGATACCGGTCCTGCTGATGGGTTAAGGACCTTCTATGACCCTGTCCAGCTCTCCTAGAGTAACTGCCTGTCTCCTGGAATCTCTGCCATGCTCCTGAGACTGTGCTGAGAGACACAGCAAACCTTCTGACAATGGCATGTATTGATGTGCCATCCGGAGGAGTTGGACTGCCTGTGAAACCTCTGTAGGGTCCAGGTATCGCCTCATGCTACCATTAGTGACAATGACCCTAGCCAAATGCAAAACTAGAGAAAAACAGTCAGAAAAGATGAGTAGGGAATAAAATGTCAGTGGCCTCCACCTGTAAAACCATTCCTGTTTTGGGGTCGTCTCATTGTTGCCCATCTAGTGCACCGGTTGTTAATTTTATTAGCACCCCCTCTGCTACTTAACTGACCAAATCACTATCCCAGAAATGTAATTGACTTTATGCTATATGCTCGGATTAAAAATGTGTTCCTTTAATTTTTTGAGCAGTGTCATAAATACAGTCAGGTCCATAAATATTGGGACATCGACACAATTCTAACATTTTTGGCTCTATACACCACAATGGATTTTAAATGAAATGAACAAGATGGGCTTTAACTGCAGACTGCCAGCTTTAATTTGAGGGTATTTACATCCAAATCAGGTGAACAGTGTAGGAATTACAACAGTTTGCATATGTGCCTCCCACTTGTTAAAGGACCAAAAGTAATGGGACATAATAATAATCATAAATAAAACTTTCACTTTTTAATACTTCATTGCAAATCCTTTGCAGTCAATTACAGCCTGAAGTCTGGAGCGCATAGACATCACCATACGCTGGGTTTCATCCCTGGTGATGCTCTGCCAGGCCTCTACTGCAACTGTCTTCAGTTCCTGCTTGTTCTTGGGGCATTTTCCCTTCAGTTTTGTCTTCAGCAAGTGAAATGCATGCTCAATCGGATTCAGGTCAGGTGATTGACTTGGCCATTGCATAACATTCCACTTCTTTCCCTTATAAAACTCTTTGGTTGCTTTTGCAGTATGCTTTGGGTCATTGTCCATCTGTGAAGCGGCATCCAATGAGTTCTGAAGTATTTGGCTGAATATGAGCAGATAATATTGCCCGAAACACTTCAGAATTCATCCTGCTGCTTTTGTCAGCAGTCACACATCATCAATAAATACAAGAGAACCAGTTCCATTGGCAGCCATACATGCCCACGCCATGACACTACCACCACCATGCTTCACTGATGAGGTGGTATGCTTAGGATCATGAGCAGTTCCTTTCCTTCTCCATACTCTTCTCTTCTCATCACTCTGGTACAAATGGTTCTTGGTCTCATCTGTCCATAGGATGTTGTTCCAGAACTGTGAAGGCTTTTTTAGATGTCGTTTGGCAAACTCTAATCTGGCCTTCCTGTTTTTGAGGCTCACCAATGGTTTACATCATGTGGTGAACCCTCTGTATTCACTCTGGTGAAGTCTTCTCTTGATTGTTGACTTTGACACACATACACCTACCTCCTGGAGAGTGTTCTTGATCTGGCCAACTGCTGTGAAGGGTGTTTTCTTCACCAGGGAAAGAATTCTTTGGTCATCCACCACAGTTGTTTTTCGTGGTCTTCCGGGTCTTTTGGTGTTGCTGAGCTCACCGGTGCATTCCTTCTTTTTAAAAATGTTCCAAACAGTTGTTTTGGCCACGCCTAATGTTTTTGCTATCTCTCTGATGGGTTTGTTTTGTTTTTTCAGCCTAATGATGGCTTGCTTCACTGATAGTGACAGCTCTTTGGATTTCATCTTGAGAGTTGACAGCAACAGATTCCAAATACAAATAGCACACTTGAAATGAATTCTGGACCTTTTATCTGCTCATTGTAATTGGGATACTGAGGGAATAACACACACCTGGCCATGGAACAGCTGAGAATCCAATTGTCCCATTACTTTTGGTCCCTTAACAAGTGGGAGGCACATATGCAAACTGTTGTAATTCCTATACCGTTCACCTGATTTGGA